ATAATCCGATCTAAACCGAGAAGCTAAGTTAATTTCCAAATAAGTTGAAAGGCTGAACCTCCATGATGTTATATTAGTTTATCTGAAAGAGACTACCTGCTCATCACCCTGGTCTAGGCATTGCATGTGTCAACATTCCAGGTAACTTAAAACTTAACCAAACTGTTACTTTTCCATTTAATTAGACATCCTGGTTCCCAGTTCACAGTTTTAAAGCAAGTTATTTTAGGCCCAAAATCAAAAGTCACTCACTAAGACAACCTTAAGAAGACCTTGAGGTATTTAGCCTGGTATTTACTTATATCATGAGCATTCTAAATGAGTTTCTTTTACTTAAATTGTCATCAACAAACAGTGATGTGCAAGAAATTAATCTATCGTAACAGGTTTCAGTAAGGAGTAGTAGCAGTTCAAAAGCGTACATTTCTATCTACTGCATATAGAATTAATGATATCTATCTTTTTATTCAGAAACTTCGTTATGTTCATCCTGATTATGCACTACTAAGCGTATCATGGAGAGGTTAATGATAATTTCCGCATGACCGGTATTTCCTAAGATTTAGCGGCTAGATAGTACTGTTAACAAAGAAAACTATGTTCTGAGATCTTAATTTTGGAACATATTACTTACGGGGGAAGAAGTCGAGCTATGAGGAACTCCTTTTTTTTCTTCTCTGACTCGAACTCTGCCATTCGAGCGCTGACTTGCTCCTCTAAGTCGGTCGAATACTTCTCCATCATCTTAAACATGTGGTCAACTATGTTGGTTTTCCTGGAAGAAGAAAATTGACAACAAAATAGCCCCAGTTGCGAGGAGGAAATATCTCACGGACATTCTAAAATTTCTTCAAGGAAAACTAACAACACCTTTTATTGAGACCATTTGAAAAGAGAGATCTGCAGACAGGTCAGCAGTTCGTATTTATGCTTCACCTCTTTCCGACAAACATGGACTTAGTTTGATTCCTTCCTAAACTGCAACACTAATCAAAGAAACCTCTTCGTTTAGTCAATAAGCGTTGTCAGTAAAACCTGATTTCGTAAGGGATTGGTGTTCAGTCATGTATTTTGTCAAGCACAGTGGTCCGAGGGACTTCGATGCTGACTAAATCTGCAGGTATTTTGGATCCTAAAAACTGACATGCGTATGGACTCAGATGATTACACCGGTCCAACTCAAAATCATTTTCCTTTACCTACTGTATACGCAAATAGCACCACCTTTGATTGTGCTCTAACGGACGCCTGAACAAAACACGATCGGATTTAGGTTCAGCACAAGTAGGCAGGTCATTTATGCGGAGTGTTTTGGTATGACTAAGGGAGACTGGCATGAATTTCTGCCATAGTTATATTTATCTAGCCTCAACCGCTGCTTTCTTCCTTAACGCGCCCGCTAGACGTCTTATGAATTTCTCCTTCGAAAATGATCACCCTAATTACTGGAACCCCCTCGTACTCATTCCCCTCATCTCTATTTAATCAATCTATCGGCAGTAGTCGCCGACATCTGATGAGATGTCGGAGTGACAAGCGAATTTGAAAAGTAGCCGGTAGTCTTTCGAATATGACTTGGTCAACAAATTCTCTTATTCTGCTATTGCTTCTTTTGCATCTCCCTGCCCTACATGTAAAATATACTTCTCAGGCATAGAAATCGCATCTCTATCTTTCTGACAATATCTTTAACTCACAAACGTCGGGTTAAACATGGAGCGCACTGTGCTAAGGGATCCCGGCTGAGACACTTAAATTATTGGTGCGCGACGATGGCTCGC